TCAGCAGATCCTCAATGGAGCTACATCTTCATGGAGAGAAGCATGCAGTGGGCTACCTAAAGGTTTGGTCCAGTACTCTTCAACATCTACATATTGATCTAGATGAGGGGATAGAAGGGAAACTCACAAAATTTGCAAATGACATCAAGATGGGGGAAATTGAGGACACTTTGAAAGATAAGACTCAAGATTCAGAAGGACCTTGACAGACTTGAGTATCAGGCCCTATTCAACAAGATGCAGTTCAGTGGTGAGAAAAGTAAGTCCTGCACCTAGACAGGAAAAACAGGTATAGAATAGGAAGCACCTGGCTCAACAGCTGTAACTATGAGAAGGATCTAGGAGTTCTAGGGGACCACAAGTATGAGCCAGCAATGTGCTGCAGCTGCCAAAATGATTGGCTAAGGCAGGGGTGTCAAACTCGCAGCCTATGGGCCAGATGTGTCATGTGCTGACCATACCCACCCCCATTTTAAGCGAAGAAGGGGAAAGTTGCAATATGTCCTGTGACGACGTGTCATCACGAGTTTGATACCCCTGGGCTAAGGGAATAGGCATGTTTAGCTTAATAAAGTGGGAAACAACATAGCAGTCTCCCAATACTTGACACAGGGAGTAGGGTGTCTATTCTCCGTAGCATCTGAGCGCAGGACAAGAAGCAATGAGTTGAAGCTCGTCAAGAAGAAGATTCATCCTGGAAATAAGGAGGAATTTCCTGACAATAAGAATGATTAATCAATGGAGCAGCTTAGCTCCTGTGCAGGGCTATTTCATTGCTGGAGGTTTTCAAGAAAAGACTGGATAACCATTTGTTTGGTCTTCCTGTCTTGGGCAAGGGGCTGGACTAGAAGACCTCCAAGGTCCATTCCAGTCCTATGATTCATATTAGCAATGCACAGATACAATTAATACTGTAAACAAATTTAATAAATAAATAATGGTCATAAATGGTTAGTATCTTCAACAAGATAGCCCTAAAATAAGAGACAAAGTAATTCTGTTAAAGAAGAAAGGTCAAATACTTCCAAGCCAATGTATGGGGAAAATGTTAAACTGTTAAAACTCGTTGTCAGTTAAATTCACTGTTGCTAAAAGGAGGTGCTACCAATTACTAAATCTAACATTTCATATACTTTTTCCAACAAATGTGTGACAGAAAATGTTCAAGAGGTAGTCCTTGACTTACAACAGTTCATTTAGTGACTGTTCAAAGTTACAATAGCACTGAAAATTATGACCATTTTTCACATTTATAATTGTTGCTGCATCCCCATGGTCATGTGGTCAAAATTAAGATGCTTAGCAACTGACTCATATTTATGACGGTTGCAGTGTCCCAGAGTCATGTGATCACTTTCTTAAACCTTCTGACAATGAGGAAAGCAAATTCACTTATCATGTCACTAACTTAACAATTGCAGTGATTCACTTAACAACTGTAGCAAGAAAGGTTATAAAATGAAGCAAAATTCACTCAAGTGTCTCGCTTAACAACATAAATTTTGGGCTTGTGGTTGTAAATCAAGGACTACCTGTAAAGCAGGGCTATCAAACTCACAGCTCGCAGGCCGGATGCATCAAATGCTGGCCACGCCCACATCCAGATTAGCGAAAGGGGGAAGTCCCAATATGTCACACGACACTGCGAGTTTGACACCTCTGCTGTAAAGAGATGTCATAGAAAACTGTTTTCTATGTTATTTGTTCCACCAGAACCTCTTTCTCTGTTAATAAGACTTAAACTGAGTTCTGATCTCACTGTAATACTGGAATTTTATAGAGTTCAAAGATTCACAAACTTTCTCTTACCACTTCAAGACTTCATCCAGTAACAAACCATGGCAAATGGAAGATTGTGGCTTGAAGAGGAGTAAATTTGAAGAGCATGAATTACCAAATAATGTGAAAGATAGATGTGCTATGTATTTATGAAACTATGGGAATGTATAAGGTGGTCTGCCTTTGTGGAGCAGGGTTTATGATATATGCAGAGAAGTGAAGGTATAAGGTTAATTATGAATGAAAGGCCTTAAACCAGAAAATATGAATTTCTACTCAGATTCTCATGCTCAGGCTTACACTATCTTTATGATACCCAACATATACCGTGTTTCCCCGAAAATAAAACCTTGTCTTATATTTTTTTGAATCCCGAAATAAGTGCTTGGCCTCATTTTCGGGGAGGTCTTATTATTTTGGGGCACATGGAGCAAGATGGGGCTCCTCTTGTCGTGTTACCTGATTTTTAGCTCTGTCTCCCTAACCCTAATCAGAGGAAATGGCAGGGACCGGCTACGTATGCGTTTAAATATTTTTTGGGAGGGCTTATTTTAGTGCATGCGCTCAAAAGCCCAATTTATTTATTATTATTTATTTATTAATTATATTTCTATACCGCCTTTCTCCCATAGGACTCAAGGCGGTGTACAGCCAAGAAAAATATAGACATACAAACATCATAAAATTGCTAATTAAAATTATTACTAAATTTGGCCAATTAAATAAAACCCAGAATTAGATAAACATTTAAAAAAAAAAATCATTCACATGTTCATATGTTTAGCCCCGCCTGTTGGAACATCAGGGTCTTGAGGGCATGGCGGAAAGCACGGAGATCAGGGATATTCCGTATCTCCGGGGGCAGTTCATTCCAAAGGGTTGGAGAAGGCCCTCCCCCTGGGAGTCGCCAGTCAGCATAATTTGACTAACCCTAACCCTAACCCTAACCCTAACCCTCCCTGTGAGAATGAACTGGTCGGTGGGAGGCTATTGGTGGCAAAAGACGGTCTCGTAGGTACCCAGGTCCTAAGCCATGGAGTGCTTTAAAGGTGATGACTAACACCTTGAATTGCACCCGGAAGACCACCAGGAGCCAGTGCAGCTCGCGCAGGAGACGTGTTACATGGGCGCAACAAGCTGCGCCCATAATCACCCGCACGGCTACATTCTGGACCAGCTGGAGCCTCCGGGTGCTCTTCAAGGGGAGCCCCATGTAGAGAGCATTACAGTAGTCCATACAGGAGGTGACTAGGGCATGAGTGACTGTGCGCAAAGCGTCCCGATCCAGAAAGGAATGCAACTGGCGGATCAGGCGAACCTGATAAAAGGCCCTGCTGGCCATGGCCGTCATGTGTGCTCTTCTAAAGATAGCCGTGAATCCAGGAGGACACCCAAGTTGCGAGCTCTCTCTGTGGGGAGTAAGGTCTCATCCCCAATTGTCAGTGATGGTACCAGATGACTATACCGGGACGCCGGAAGCCACAGCCACTCAGTCTTGGAGGGGTTGAGTCTGAGCTTGTTTCTCCCCATCCAGATCCGCACGGCCTCCAGGCAACGGGACATCACAGCAAGGGCATCATTGCGGTGGTCCGGGGTGGAGATGTATAGCTGTGTGTCATCAGCATACTGATGAACACTCACCCCGAAACCACGGATGATCTCGCCTAGCGGTTTTACATAAATGTTGAACAGAAGGGGTGAGAGGACTAACCCTTGCAGCACCCCACAAATAAGGTGCCTTGAGATCGACCTCTGACCCCCTGCCAACACAAACTGCGAACGGTCAGAGAGGAAGGAGGAGAACCACCGAAGCACGGTGCCCCCTATTCCTAACCCCTCCAGCCGGTGCAGTAAGATACCATGGTCGATGGTACCAAAAGCCGCTGAGAGATCTAATAGGACCAGGACAGATGAACAACCTCTGTCCCGAGCCTTCCAAAGATCTAATTGAGCTTATTATCAGGGGATGCCTTATTTTTGGGGAAACAGGGTACATCATCTTTTCCATTTCCTTCCTTCTTACCCAAGCAACAAAGCACCCACCAGGGTGGATAAAAATCAATGATTTTTTTTAAAAAATAAAAAAATCAGATTTTTTTTATTTAAATCAGATTTTTTGATTTAAATCAGATTTTTTGATTTAAATCAGATTTTTTTAAATAAAATGCTTTTTGAGGAAAATATATTACCATCCAAAGGTTAATCCATCATGAAATAAAGATTAGTTTTTTAATTATGTAAATAAGTTTTTACATAGTTTTTTAATTATGTAGAATAAGGCTGTATATGTTTAATTTTTTTGGTAAATAAATTCCATTAATCCATTCACAACGTCATGCTCTTCCAGAGGTTTTTGTAAGATTATTGGGCAGTTTCTCTGCCTACAAGATATTATCACAGATGCTTGGTTTACTTTTGCAGTTCTCAAAACTGAATTTGACTCAGCAGAGTCACATGCCTCTTCTTCACAGCAAAAATATTATAACATCAACAGAGTTGAGAAAAAGACCTTAATCTTATTGTTCTACAAACCTATGAATACAGAATCAACCCCTTCAGTGCTAAGTTTCAAGAAGGTCAGTGAATAGAATAGAAACAATATTTTTCTGATTGTTTGGAGTGGAATAGATCTACACAAAAAGAAAGTGAAACTAAGTGTGAGGAGGAAGGGGCAAGCAGACAAACAGTACAAAATGAAAGTGAAACTTTCTGAGCACAATACTGCACAGCCACAGACAGACAAGTCTTTGGATCTTTTTGTGTGTATGACCTGAGGTTTATCACATTCTTTCCTTGGAGGAAAAAACCTATAATGGCAGCAGGCCGTAAAAGAGACCCAGTTTGGCAATATTTTAATGAAGTTCCTTTACCTATTGGTAAGGCAGGCATGCGTGCAAACTGCAAACACTGCAACAAAGAAATGCAAGGCCTGGTGGCCCGAATGAGGCAACATCATGAGAAGTGCTGTGATGAAGATGACCAAAGAAACACATTTGAACAGGCAGGATCTTTAGGTTGGTAAACATTTTTATTGAATCATATTTCTAAAGACTGCCTTGAACTGTCATGTTTGAGCAAAATTATATTTCTTATTATTATTGCATGTTACTGTCATTTGGTACAGTTATGAAGAAAGCAAATATTCCTTTTGGGGCAGTGCTGTGTACAATAAGCAGAAATTGTATAAACAATGAAATAACAGCATTGACTTTTTTGTTTAGGGGAATTCATGGATTCTGGAAACTATCCACCTTCAAGATCACCATCCTCCTGTTCTACAGTTTCAGAGTTATCCATCCAGGATAGTGCTTCATTAGCATCATCATCATCAGACACCCACAGCCACATATCACTATCACCTAAAAGAAAGAAAAAACCCTTCCCTCCTGGAACCACCATAGATAAATTTGTGATAAAAACTAGCAGATTAGAGAGTTAATTGATGAAAAAATTGCCCAGTTTGTTTATGCAACGAACTCTTCTTTCCGTCTGACTGAGAACCCATATTTCATTAATATGGTTCAGTCACTGAGACCAGGATACAGTCCACTCAGCAGAGCAGATGTTGCAGGGAAACTGCTGGATAAAGTGTATGACAGAGAAATGGAGCAATGTGCAACAGCTCTGGAGGGTAGAATTGTTAACCTAAGTATTGATGGGTGGAGTAATGTCCACAATGATCCTATTGTATGTGCTTGTATAACAACAAAAGAAGGGAAAGTCTTCCTTGCACAAACAATTGATACGTCAGGAAATGCACATACAGCAGAATACTTACAAGAAGTGGCAGTAAAAGCTATAACAACATGTGAACAAAAATTCAAATGTCTAGTACGCAGTATGGTCACAGACAATGCTGCAAATGTATCCAAGATGAGAAGAAATTTAGAAGAGCAGGAAGGGAATACAAAGCTAATAACATATGGTTGCAGTGCTCATTTGCTGCATCTCTTAGCCAAAGACTTAAGTATTCCAGAAATAAAGACTAATGTTGTTGAAATTGCTAAATACTTCCGTAACAATCATTTTGCTGCAGCATCTCTGAAAAGGTTGGGTGGAACCAAGCTAACGCTCCCACAAGGTGTTAGATGGAACTCTGTGGTGGACTGTTTTGAGCAGTATATCAAGAACTGGCCTATTCTGATGAGAGTTTGTGAAGAAAATCGAGATAAAATAGATGGCACTGTCACGGCCAAAATCCTCAACATTGGGCTTAAGAGAAATGTTGAACATATGCTGAGCATCCTGAAACCCATCTCTGAAGCTTTAAACAAAATACAGAAAAATAGCTGTTTTATTGCTGATGCTGTTGAAATTTGGAAGGAACTGAGTGAACACTTAAAAACAGAACTACACATGGACAGAATTAAATTACAAGCATTAAAAAATGAATGGGACAAGTACTGTCTCCAGCTCATTTTTTGGCAAATACTGTCAATATCCAGTATCAGGGTCAAAACTTAAGCGCTGAGGAAAAGGAGTTAGCTATGACATGGGTATCCAGCAATCATCCACCTGTAATGCCAACTATAATAAACTTCAAAGCTAAGGGGGAACCATTCAAGAAATATATGTTTGCTGAAGATATATTTTAAAGAAAGTCACACCAGTGAACTGGTGGAAGTCACTTAAGCACTTGGATTTAGAGACTGTTCAAGTAATGATTTCACTATTAACAGCAGTAGCTTCTTCTGCAGGCATTGAAAGAATATTCTCTTCCTTTGGACTCATTCATTCTAAATTGAGAAATCGTTTGGGACCCGATAAAACAGGAAAGCTTGTTTTTCTTTTCCAGATTATGAACAAAGAAGAAGGTGAAGATGACGAGTGAGCTACAGAGGACAGTATTTAAGTTTTTCATGTGTAGGCTGGGCTGACAGTCTAAGTTTCTTAAAATATATATATATTGTTTAGCCAAATTAGTTAACAAACATGGATGTTTGTTTAAGCAAATAACATATGCTGTAATGTTGTTTCAGTTGAATAAACCTATTTAAATTGTTATTATTAAGGTAATGATTATTTTTCTCCTTCCTAAGTACAACAGAAAAGTTGTCCAAATATGAATGATTAACCTATTAAACTGGGGATAAAAAAACTAATATGAAAAGTTGTTATTCTAAAAATCTTCATCTACTTGTATATTAAGGTTATACCAGCAAGAATTAGTCTTTATGTAGAAAACTATGATTTAAATCAAGCCTTACTGACTAGTGATTTAAATCAAATCCACGCTGGCACCCACAGTGCATTCCTATTATTTATAATTGTTCTGTCTGGCCTCTGGCGCCCTCCTTTGTGAGCTTTCTTCATACAGATATGTTCAAGAATGTAGGGATTACCATAAAGCTAGTTGCTTTTTCTTTTTAAAAGAACCTATGTCAAATGCAGCAATATTTGCACTACTACCATCAAGAATGGTATCATTTCACAAAAAGTATTCTTAAAACCCTGGCAACTATAATAGTCACAGAATATTACAAACCAAAATTAACAATTGCCTAACTACATATATTGGATTTAGTTGCAATCTTAATTGGCAGAATGCATAAAAAACTAGAATTATTCAACATGCATAGAAATACCACGATGAAACAGATTCAGTAACATTTTTAAAAAGAGCAGCTTTAGTTGCTGTAGAACTACGTCTTCTAAAAACTCAAGGGAACACACAGAACATTCCTTATGTTGATTTGGACTCTGGACATTTAGCTTGGTCTACTCTATGTTAACTAGCAGTTTTCCAGGGCTTTAAGAAAAGAATTTTTCCAACCATGTATGGAGCTGCTAAGGATTCAAATAGAGATATTTTGTTTTCAAATACATATCAGGACATTGAAAAAGATAAGGACTAAGGATAATCCTTAGTCCTATTCTGTAGTCAAAAACCCAAGATACTGTTGTTTTAAAAGATCTAATGGGCTTCATATAAATATTGATAAATGGCACATTCAGAACACTAAAATTCCATATAAAATATTCCAAGTCTACTTTCAAATTGAACAGATGAACAAAAAACACTAATAATATTAAGTTGCTGTCCATGAGAGAAAAATTATATATACTGTAAGCCCCACAGACTAACAGAGCTAGATGGGATATTGGAGGTCTTCTAATCCAACCACCCTGCTCAAGCAGGAGGCCCAGCCTGACCTATCAACAATTTTTTAATTATCTTCATCATGAACACTTATAATTAGGCTTGTCTACTGCAAATGACATCATAAAAAATAACTGAAAGATTATGAATCTCAGGCAACCTTCCTGTGAGATGACTTGAGTTACCTGCTCTTGATAAGTACATTATTATCAATGCCAAATCATACCTAACAAAGAAAGGGATTGGGTTAAAATTACAATAGGAATATCAATTACACAGCAGTGTTGATGTAAAGATGCTGGATTAGGCATTTACAATAAAAATTACAAGGAAATGTAACATTGCAGCAAAAATGTTCACTCTAATTCTATCATATCTATATATGTCTACATTCATAGTGTCAGGTATTCTAATGTGGGGCATTAGTTAGAAGTCTAACATTGAAGCATAGCACTTCCAGAAACTCTGGAAATATCTCTCTGTGCAGTGTATTTCAGCGGTCTAACCCTATTGTAACTAAGGAATGTGCAACTGTTGCCAGAGGTAGTGAAAGCTAAAACATAAAACAAAGTAATGAAAATGCATTCCTTTCCAGTATCTAGAAATCTAGCAAAGTTTGTAATCGAAGTACATTCCCAAGGGGTGGATCTACTTGCTCAGAGGAAGTGTGACACCATACAGAATAAGCCAATTCACAATTATTAAGCTTGGTTTCCCAATAACCAACATAACTTCTATCTTATTTGCCTCCGAGACCATATACATCAAAGACAAATTCCTTGTGCGTCCAATCATACTTGGCCAATAAAGAATTCTATTCTGTTCTATTCTAATTATAGCTTGTGTAGCCTCATCCAGATCATCGCTGAATTTAGCCTATAATAAAGTCCTTACAATTGGACAGGAAGAATTATTAGTTGTCATAATCATAGTTAAAAGGCACCTCATCCCTAAGTTCCACATAACATCTCCCAGCAGTTTCATTAAGAAACAAGTTGGAATCTAACAGCAGAAGACCTCTATAGAATGACCTCTATAGGCAAACAAACAAACCAATTCTATGGGCCCAATTAGTTAGGCTGCCCTAGAGAGCATTATAGTAACTGAAGGAATGCTCATTACTGACAATCCAGATGACAATCACATATCCTTCTAATGGAAGAATAGGATTTAAGTTACAAACCATGATAGATGGGGCAAAAGATGTTAAAACAAATGCTACAAATGCTTCCACCATATTTACAAATAAAACTGCAAGACTTATTACCAAAGAAATTATAGCAGAGCCCAGATTTGAATCAGCAGCTTCCCAATTTACAGCTTATTTTTATTTGTATCCTGCATTTATTGATTTTACAAATAAAGCGAAGAACATATCCAACACACCTTCCTCCTATTTTCCCACAATAAAGTGAGTTGGGCTGTGACTTGCCCAAAGTCACCCACTTGGCTTTCATGGCTAACACGGGACTGTAACTCAGGGTCTCTCTTGCTTTCTAATGTAACTACTAGACCAAACTGGCTCTCTTATCCATTTCCATAAACTCTAAATTAAAAACTATACTGTGTGCTAGAATCCTACAACAGAGATCTCGTTCAATCAAGAAAATTAGCAGCAGTTGCAGGGCCGACTTTTTAATCCTGCCGTGTTTTACAACCTGGCAAATTCACGGGCACAAGGCCTTCAATCGCCACTTGCCGAAGTTCCTCGGCAAGTTCAATACCTCCCCCCCCACCCCCCCGAAGAGAGACGCGCCTTGGGCACCCAGAATGGTAGGGAACGAGGAGCTCTGACTAACGCGGCCAAGGGCTGAACTTCCCGGCACATCTTCCTCCTGGAGTCCTGCAGGAACCGCCCGGGAATAGGAATCCTGCCCCGCCGAAAAAGCGCTTCCGCCAGCCGCGTCCCCCCAACCGCTCGAGGCACCCTCGGGCCTGAGGCGGCAGCGGCACCCGAGAGCCCCAGACCGCCACGTGCTGCCCGAGAGGACAGCGGCGGCCCCGGGAAGCTTCGCGGGGAGCTGCGCCTGGCCCGTCGCCGCCGCGGGAGACCACCGACCTCCCGGCAGCCGCCCGGGATCCGAAAGAGGGACCGCCGCAGAGGCCTCCCCGCTCAGTTGCGTTGGGCAAGCGTTCGGGATGGCCGGCAGACCGCTCCCCTCTCCCGGCGCTTTGGAAATTCCGCCGCTTTCCAGCCTGGGGCGCAGGCGCGGAGCTCACCTCGGGTGGCTCGGGGCGAGAGGTCTCGGGCCAGACCAGGCACCGGACTAGCCGCTCGCGTTCTCCCTAGTCGGCTCTCGAGCTGGTCCCCAAACAAAATGGCGACCGTGGCCGCGCGCTCACGTCGCGGCCTTTCTCTTCCCGTCTTCCTCTGCGCAGGACGCAAAGCAAGGAGGCGAGACCTGGACCTGAGGCTCAGTCCGCCTGCGCGGAAACAACTTTGACCAATCAGAGAGCCGTCCCGGTTGGTGCTCGAGTCCGCCTCCAATTTTGTACCCAATCCCTAGAAGGACACCCCGATCTCGCCTTTGCACTCTCGTCGACGGAGGTACGCAAAGATTCCCTCATGAAGTTGACGAGGACGGGAAATGGGCGGGGACTATTAAACTCAGAAGACCTTGCGGAGTTGGGGTCCGGGTGCGATTGGATAGTTTAAGTATCGAGCTCGCCGAGGCCAATCGCAGCGCGGCGATGGGAAGCGATCGCGTCAGTCGCGAGGGCAGACGCGCGTGCGCAACGGGCGGAGGTGGGGCGAGAGGCTGGGGTCTCCTTCAGAAAGGGCGCCTGGTTTCGGCGAGGTGGGCGGGGCGAGCGGAGTGACGGCACGGAGACAGCAAGATAGGGCGGGGCCTTTTATTGACTGGCTGGGGAGCGGGGGGAGGGGGACTTCTTCCGGCGAGCGGTTCAGGCGTGGCTGGATGGGCCGAGGAAGCGGCGGAACATCTCCAGGGCCGGACCGGGCTTGTACTGCGGCACCATGTGTCCGGCGCCCTGCGGAGAAGGAGGCGAGAAAGGCGAGCCGATGAGGCAGGAGGAAAGGGCGGTTCCCACGTGCAGAGTCAACGGTCCGCCTCCCCGAACCCCCTCCGCTTCCCGCTGAAGAGCCCGTCAATGGTCGGGACTGGCGGGGTTGCCATCGCTAAAAAGTACGATCGCGTGATGTCACGCTTTACCACCACGTGGCTGACCGATGGCAACCCGGCCTCAATTGTTGTCCTAACTCGAGGACTACCTCTACCCGATAGAGATAGTCCTCGATTTACGACCACAATGGAGCCCAAGATTTGCTGCTCCGGGCAACGTTAAGTGAATTTTGCCCCATTTTACTACAGTCCTTGCCACGGTTGTTAAGCAAACATTAGTAACAGTTGTTAAGTAAATCTGGCTTCCCCGTTGACTTTGTCAGATTACCTTTGTGACCAAGGTAATCATGTGACCTCAGGACACTGCAACTGTCATAAATGAGTCCGATGCCAAATGTTGATCATGTGACCATGGGATGCTACAACAGTCATAAGTGTAAGAAATGATTATAAGTCACTTTCTTCAGTACCATTGTGATTTTGAACATCACTAAATGAACTGTTGTAAATTGGGGACTACCTGTATTTTATTGTAACTGATTCCTAGAACAAAATATCTTGTTAGTTTCACACATCCCACAAAGTCGGAACCAAATAAACTGGATTATAATGCAGCTTTGCAGGCTAATTCTGCCTGCTGCTGGCAGTTCAAATCTCACCAGGCTCGAGGTTGGCTCCACCTTCCATCCTTCGGAGGTTAGTTAAATGAGGACCCAGATTCTTGGGGGCAATATGCTGACTCTGTAAACCGCTTAGAGAGGGTTGTAAAGCAGTGAAGCGGTATATAAGTGCTATTGCTATTATGGCTTAGTAGTGGTGTGAAAATTCAGACCTTTGCTTTGTTTCTGGTGATCAGTGCTGGAGCTGTTTCCCACAAGTTCTTCCATAAAACTGAGATGGGAGGTTTTTTGACAGCCACAGCCTTTATAACAAGTATTCAGTAATCGTGAGAGAATCAAAACATCTCCACTTTGCCATAGAAGTTCTTTCCAGGAATTGCAAATTACTTTTTCAACTACGCAAAGGCCACTGTGCCTTGAAAAACAACACCTATCCCTTAGTAAAGTAATCATCATTAGCTTCTATGGATAGGGGAAAAGAGAGACTTTGGCTTCTTTGATGTGAGCCTTGGTAAGAATGACTATTAGATGAGAATTGCCCACTGACCTTTACAGTGAGGAATGTGATGTTTTGGTATTCCTTGAAAAATCCGGCCACTTGATCATTGAAATACCATGGCTGGTATTCACTAAGTACCTGTAAGATGAAAAGGCAGAAGGATCAGCTGGGGAGAAACCTGCCTCCCATCCAATGAACTGGAGATCCCAACTTTTTGAACTAATGGACACCTCTGGGAGTTTTTACCAATGGCTCCCCATCAGAAAACACTCACGCCGTCTCATGTCGCAGGGAAGAGATCATTGATGTACTAAATGTTTGTTTGTCTAAAAATTAAAAAACTTTTTTTAAAAAGAAAACACTCATGAGGTTTTTTTTCTGCCACTTCTTTTAGCCTCCCTGGAGAACGGTTCAGCTGTCAAATAGCTTTTCCTGTTAACTACTAATATCCAGTAGAGCCCGTTTTTAGTCTATGGTAGCCCAAAATCAAGAGTCTGATAGCACTTTTTCCAACAATTAAAGGTGTAAGCTTTTGTGAGCTACATATATCTGATAAAATCACCCTTACCTCACAAAAGTTTATGCCAATTTGTTAGTCAGAAAAGGTGTTACCAGACTCCTAATGATTTCTGCTTAACTTTTAGCTGATAGCTACTTTTGTGTAATTTAAATCCATTGTTTGATGTCATGCCCTGTGGAACAAGGCTTTATCCTTGTTGGATAGGTTTTAACCATCTGTATGGCATCTGTTCAGGTACTGGTTGTGTAACCATATTCTCTCATCATCTTTTCTCAATACTAAATATTTGGGCTGTGTGTTTGGAATTCAAAGGAGAAAAGATGCTTCAGAGCATATCATGGATGCTCATGTAGAAACTGCTGCTTTTTTTTCCAGGATCACATAATTACCTCCTTAGCTGCAGTTTGCCAAATTAATTAACTAACCATCCAGCCCATAGGTCTGTAGAGATTCTCAGTCATCCAGGTCATGGTTTTCCCAAAGGTGCTTTTTCAGGAGGCAACTGGACTTCCTTGTTTTTTCTTTTGAAGACGTTTCACTTGCATCCAAGGAACTTCAGCTCCATTCTCCACTATCCTGTCAGAGCTGAAGAAGCTTCTTGATGAGAAGCGAAACATCTTCAAAAGAAAAAACAAGAAAATCCAGTTGCCTCCTGAAAAAGCATCTTTGGGACATCCAGCCCATACTAAACTGCCTTACATTAATTACATTGTGGGATAGTTTGAGAAATTCTTGACTGAAGTTAAGATACTTTAGAGCATTTTCCACAATTTTATTAGGGACATTTCCTAGCCTTAAAAAAAAAGAGTAAAGCAAAATTTGATTGTATCAGATACATCCTTTCTTCTGGTAATTGCCACATCATTTTCCAGAGCTTATAACCAGATTTCTCTATGTTCTACTTAAAACCATCTTATCTATTTATTTATCAAACTTAAATTGCTGCCCATATCACCAAACGTTACTCTGGGGAGTACACAACAAATAAAACAACAAATGTAAAAAAGAAACATATAAAACATATTATATTACTAAATATTACAAAAACCAAATAGAAACCATAATTGGAAAGGATAAGAATGGCCACTTTAAGAATAGATGGCTAAACAGATCTCTGGGTGCCCTAGATTTGATAACAAGCAAGTCTTGAGGGCCTATTGGACTATCAAAACGGGGAGCTAATCTAATTCCTGGGCCCAGGGATAGAGTGGGTGTCCCAGCAGAGGGGATGGGCTGAGAGGGGGACTGACCCAAAGTCCTTAGAACTCACAGTCTCCCATTTCCAATTCAGTGCCATGACCACTACACCAAACTGGCTCTCACCACAAAAATTAAGCTTAATTAACAGTTACTTACCATTTTGGAACTTAAGACTCTCTTTTTAGACCCCGTTATCAGGCCATTTATCAGAAGGAAATTAACTGAAGATTTCCAGAATGTTCCTTCTTCCTTTGTCTCCCAATAGCCCAAAAGAAAGCTGCACTCCCCACTGGTCTCTTGCCTGTTTTCTTCAACAGAATAATTGAAGGGCCTTTGAGAAGCACCCCTCTTTGGGGTGGCAGCCATTTCAGAAATGTGAAGAACAAATAAATAGCTGCAATACAGGTAGTCCTCGACTTACAATCACAGTTCAGCCCAAAATTTCTGTCACTAAGTGAGACATTTGTTAAGTGAATTCTGCCCCATTTTATAATGTTTGTTAAGTGAATCACAGCAGTTAATAATACTATTAAGTGAATCTGGCTTCCCCTTTGACTTTGTCAGAAGATCACAAAAACTGAATCACCTGACCCTGGGATGCTGCAACTGTCATAAATATGAATCAGTTGCTAAGCATCTGAATTTTGATCACGTGACCGTGTAGATGCTGCAACAGTCATAAGTGTGTAAACATTCACAAGTCACTTTTTTGCCATGTAACTTTGAATTGTCACTAAATAAATGTTGTAAGTTGAGTACTACCTGTATTTGTTGCAAATCTTCCATTCCTAAATCAGATTTTTTATGCCCAAAAGAAAGAAACATTTTTCTCAGATACTTACAGGCTGATTTAAAGCATCAGTGAATTTTTCACCCCCCAAAAAGTTGCATGCCATGTCCACATCACCATTATAAACCAGTGCACGAAGATTTTGTGTCAATAACAACTTGTAGAAGGGAGCCATATCCGTATATTGTCTTTGGTAGGTAGCAGATATCTGTGAGCTGTAACAAGAGAAGATCATGAAAGGGCTGTCTCTTCTTTCTTCCCACCATTAAAATTAGATGAGCATGCATGTGCTAAGTACGAGTGACCAGGAAGTTCTCACTTGCCTTTCCACTAAGGGAACTCTTTCCTGCTCATATAGGCCAGTAGAAGTAAGTTCATCTGAGTGCCAAGTTGGACGAAGAAAAATATTACGCACTCCTCATGTCTCAGAGAAAGTAAAAGAGAACTCACTTAACGATCACAATTGGAACCAGAATTTTCACTGCTAAGCACCATAAATTATGGCGTGATTGTGCCTTAGCATCGGAAATTCTGGTGTTCCCAATTACCATTAAGCAAATCACTGCAGATTGTTAAGCAAGGATTTCACATGGTATCGATTTGTGACCTGCTGGTTATCCCATTGACTTTGCTTGTAAGAAGCCAGTGAAGAAGACCACAAGACCACAACGACAACAGTGACTGCACTGTTGTCATTGCAAATCAGACATGGGGCCCCTGGGTTGCAATCGTGGTCGCAGGGATGCTGCCACCAATGCAAGTGTAAGGGCCAGTGGTAACTGCCACTTGTTCAGGACCATTGTAAATTCAAATAATCACTGAACGAGAGGTTAAGACACCTGTATGTACTGAGGTAAAAATTCATTCCCAGCTTGAATTGAATATTGGAATTTGAATGAATTGGAACCTTGATTTTGTTAGGTTTTGACTGTTGTTAGCGGCCCAGAGTTATGATATGAGGTAGGTGGCCCTATAAATTGAAATAAATAATTGCTCTATTATTGAATGGGATATTGCTCTATTATTGAATGGGATATTGCTCTATTATTGAATGGGATATTCAGGCAAAGTGGCTTTATAAATTAACCTAGTCATGTCTAGGAAGTATGATTTGAAAGTAAACATTTGAAATCCTATTAAAGTTGGTTGGGCCTATGGAACTTGCAGAAAATATATCTGGAAGGCAGCATTTATAAGGCAAATGGCTGACATAGGTGGGCCTCCACTTACAACAGTGAGTGAAGTTACGCTCCTCCACTTACAAAAGTGAGTGAAGGTACACTGAAAGTGACTTACGACTGTTTTTCACAACTATTGCCACATCCCGGTGGTCAGATGATCAAAATTCAGATGCTTTGGCAATTGGTTCAAACTTATGACCATTGCAGTGTCCAAGGGTCCCCTTTTGCAACCTACTGACAAGCAAAGTCAATAGGGAGGCCAATTCACCTAATAACCATGTTACTAATGACTGCAGTGATTCACTTAACAACTATAGCAAGAAAGGTCATAAATGGGACAAAATTCACTTAACAATTGTCTCGCTTAGCAAGAAAAAAGATGGGCTCCCTTGTGATTGCAAGTCAAGGACTAGCTGTACTTCTGTCCACCCTGCAGTGGAACAGGGCAATCGGGAGCACCACTTCATATGGCCAGGTAACACTAATAATTGCAGAGATGAATGGCCATGAAATGTTGTGATTGGAAAGTCAAGGTCTGCCCTCCTCTGGTAGAGCCTTTGCCTCAAACGGCACTTTCCATCTTTCCATCTGAAGCCTTTAGTTGGTGCTGCCCTAAGTGCTGTTCCGACAGGCAGGGCTGTCTATTTAAGTGGTTTTAAATTGGAGTTTTAACTTGGGGTTTTAAATTTTGGCCGAAACTGTTTAATTGATTTTAATTAATGGCGCTCACATGTAACACCTCTCCCACGCGAGTTACACTGGCTCCCGGTGGTCTTCCGAGTGCGCTTCAAGGTGTTGGTTCTTACCTTTAAAGTGCTCCATGGCTTAGGACCTGGGTACCTACGAGACCACCTTCTGCAACCAATAACCTCCCACCAACCAGCACGCTCCCACAGGGTGAGCCTCCTCAGGGTGCCGTCACTAAAGCAATGTCGACTGGTGGTTCCCAGAGAAAGAGCCTTCTCTGTGGGGGCACCTACCTTTTGGAACAGGCTACCCCCAGGGATACGAATGATCCCAGATCTTCGTACTTTCCGTCGGGCACTTAAGACCTTTCTATTTCACCAAGCCGGGCTGGCATAAATCTCTTCTAATTGTTCTAAATCTTTATGCTGAAGATTCTTAACCGATGAACCAAATTGGCTTAATCATGTTATTAATTTTATATGTATGTATGTATGTTATTTTAACTGTTCACCGCCCTGAATCCTTCGGGAGAAGGGCGGTATAAAAATTAAATAAATAAATAAATAAATACTTTTTAATGATGATGTCTGTATATTTATGTTTTTGAATTGGCTGTACACCGCCCCGAGTCCTTCGGGAGAAGGGCGGTATATAAATAAAATTAACATTAACATTAACAGGTCCTCTGCCCTGGCTGCCTTTGAGCATCTGAGGCAGAGCCAGTCACCTGCAAAGCTCCCAGTCTGGCAGAGAGTGGGGGATGTGAAGGGCCTGCCGGACGTCATCTCGATTCAGCCAGACATACATGGCAGTGGCATTTATGCATTTGGGCACTCCTGGGATAGAGCCAATGTTCTGGAAATGAGAGCAAAGGTAAGTTGTTACAGAAAAAAAATGCCTCGGAGCCCATCCTCACTGAGGATAATCCAACTCATCATTTGTTCATCCTTTGTTCAGGTCTGCTGCTTTGCCTGTGTTCGGCTGAAAACTTCAGTGCTGAATAGTAATACTTCCAAACTAGCTTTTGCTACTGGATAGTTCAGAAGCAGCACATTTGGTATTCTTGCTTGGACTTAAATTTTGTTCTGAGAAAGCCAAAACTTCTCAAACTGGGAAAAGGTGGATTAAACCCCTGAAAGGCTATGGTTAAGAAAGGGGAAGAAGTCAAAGGGAACCTTTAAAAAAGGAGAGAGGGACCCAATCCTTGGGAGGGGTGATTGTTCCACCAGGGCTTGCTAGTCTGGCCCATCCAGGCCAGCCTCCCTGCACCAGCCACAGACCCTCCTTGGGAAGCCTGAGGAGAAGCAGAAGGCTGCAGCAGAGGATCAGAGGGAGCCACAAAACCATGCAGATTGGAATGATTACTCGCTTACTGAGCTGGAAGCCTCTTTCTCCCAAGATTTTCCTTTATTAAATAGAAGGTTTGATTTATCTCTTCCTTTGGCAGGAAAATGGCTGGACTTTTGCCATGCAGCTCTCTTTTCAAACTAAAGAATAGGAGGAGTATGGTTGGTATGGTTCAGGAAACCTTGGTGTGAACTTTTGGGTTTATAGACCATAAAGCATGATTTGGAAAGTTCTGTCCATCCACTATGTTTGAATTCATCTTATACGTGCAACCATTTGAGGACTTCTTATTTTGTAAATCAATCTCATTCTAAATTTATTTATAAAACAAATGTAGGTAAGATTTCACAGCATTACAGCGTAAAATTGCACCAAAAGCTTTTTGCTTTCATGCATCAACTTGAGCCCCATTTTTATGTTCCCTTTGGAACATAAGTGTGGAGAAGGCTTGATCGCGCTGAGCAAATCTTAGCTACAGGCTAGCTATAAATGATGGAGCAAATCCCCTGCAGAAGCAGCCCCAGGGCAGCAAATACTCACCGGCACTGGGACATTGAACTGATAGTGACGGAAGAGGTTGGCCAGGTCGGCTTCATAGCGGCTCTGGTAGAGTGCACCTCCCCAGCAAGAAGCATAAAGATTGTACATGTTGAGGCCAGTTCCAGAAATAAGCTGGTATGCTTTTGATATCTTGGGATGGAAGCAGGGAAGAAGAAACAGACACCAGTCATGTGTGTGTGTGTGTGTGTGTGTGTGTGTGTGTGTGTGTGTGTGTGTGTGTGTATATATATATATATATATATATATATATATGTTTTCTCAGGGCGGGTGTTTGTATGTAGGTCTTTGGTTATTCGGGTCTTCTCCCACGTAAAATTGGAAGTGTCTTGGCGACGTTTCGACGAAGTCTGAGACTTCGTCGAAACGTCGCCAAGACACTTCCAATTTTACGTGGGAGAAGACCCGAATAACCAAAGACCTACACACACACATATATATATATATGATGTCAGCACGTCAAGATGCATTTATCTTAGTGCTGAAAACCTGACATATAAAAATGCACAAGGGCCTCTTGCGTCTGATTTCTCTTGGCTCCTGTTCAGGTTCAGGCCTGCTTGCTGGTGGGGAGTGGGTGTGGATGTACAGCTTTTGTCAGCTGTGTCAGACCACCACAGTCCGCTAGTGACTCCTCTGACATTGAGGTGGGAGACCATCATGGTGCTCGCTGACCCGCTGCAGAGCCCTGGGATGCTGAGGTTGGAGACACCACTGGTGGGGCAGCTGATGGAGGTGGGGGCCAAGAGGTTGGAGGCTGAAGGACTTTGCCATTGTGGCCCTGTTGGAAGTCTCAGCAGCGAGTGACAGATCAGGATTTTACAAGTCAGAGGCAGGCAATGTGCAAGGGGGGGGCACCACTAACTGGGTCAGGAGGCTGTGGGCCAGTTCCAAGAGTGCACTTAGGAGTGGAGAGCTGGCACTGAACTGCAGGAGTGGCTGGATGGGCATCTGCTGCCTTTGGTTTCTGCTCTGGATTGTGTCAGTTTGGGTAGAGGTCCTGGAATAGGACCCCTGGCGTTTCCCCCATAACTTTCAAGGATATGATTTGTGCCCCCCCCATCCATAGCAGGGAGAAACTGGGTACCCTTTCCCTGCAGGAGCTTGGCCCCCTGATGCTACTGAGTACTTGGGCAGGTGCAGTTGGGTTGTGAGGTTGGCTGTGCATGCCTTTGCCTGAGGAAAGGCATGTGGCTAGAGAGATGGGAGGGCAAGCTGAGACATCCCTGCGCTTAGGGAAGGATGGCAGGGAGCATAGATAGGTTGTATTTGGGGACCTCCAAGCTTGGCTTGAAAGCAAGCCTGGTGTCCAGTCTTTAGGTTTACCTTCCAGTACTGGATCTTGGACCCACTTGCTTCCCCCATGTTCCCCCCCACCCACCCACCTGAGCTGGCCAGGCTGCCTGCAGTCTGCCAGAGAGCTGTAGCTGAGGGTGGGGCAGACCCTGCATCTTCCCATTCCTAATCCAGTCCCTTAACCGCAACATTGCATTACCAACACTGTTGCTTATTTATTTTCAGAACAAAACAGAGTTCCCTTTGTGGCAAAGAAGAAATGGGCTGTTCTTGAGAGTCAGACGTTGAGAATTAAAAATATAAATATGAATTCAACCTAATCACTTACTGCTGTAATGCAGTCCCTGTTGTCATTGCTGGCGTAATTGCAGTTTCCTCTAGTGCAGCAGCTTTCCACAAGAGAGGACCACAGGCTGCAGGCCGGAAAAGTGGAGAGAAGCGATCAGGCAGAGGAACCTGTAAAACAACCTCCTCTACTCCTACCTACCAAAAATACCCAATTTGCTCAAAGGAAATTCTGCAACTTCCCAGCCATTCCTCCTGGGGTTGCTGTGCCTGGAATGTTTGCCTGAGGAGGAACTAACACTAAAGGTGGGATAGGAAGCATTCTTCTAATCTGCCAAAATATTAGAATACCGGGGTGGGGTGGGATGTCAACATCTGTCCCAGAAGGAAGCCATGTTGCTGGTTCCAAGTTGGGGGCTATTTGGGAACAAGGGACAAGTTTAGCGGGATTCTTTTGAAGTCATGATTGAGGTCAGCCTTATAAATCTTGGTAGTAAATAAATAAATATTCGCCTTTTTCCTCCTATCATACTGAGCTTTCAAAAAAATCTTAATATTTTACAAACCTGTGTGCCAACCTTAAGCCTTGGTAGGCTTATTGAGCCTTGGTAGTACAGGGGTTTAAGGCACCCTGTTATTAAGCTTATTATGACCAGCTGCCTGCAATTACTGCAGGGTTCGAATCTCGCCAAGGCTCAAGGTTGACTCAGCCTTCCATCCTTTCTAAGGTAGGTGAAATGAGGACCCAGTTTGTGGGGGCAATAAGCTGACTTTGTATAAATATACAAAAGGATGAAGGCTATTGCTGAGCACATTGTAAGCCGCCCTGAGTCTTCGGAGAAGGGCGACATATAAATCAAATTAAAAAAAAAAAAGAAAGAAAAAGGTTTTGTGCATAAAATTTTGACTCTAGACATATTTGTTTGGTATACTCTGGCAGAAAGCATAATTATTGTAGGAGAGGACCAGGCTGAGCCTGAGGGAGGGGTCAAATGCATCATAAGTCACAAGTCCCTTCGCACCCACAAGAGATCTAAGTCCAGCCTCGAATGCCTTCTTAATTTCTGCTCGTTTCCCTTGACCATTAGTAGCTCAGATTCTTGTGGAGAGCTTAAGTTTCCAATGAAATATTCATTTGAACTGGCTGAATCTCCTGATTTCCCTGGTGCTTGATAATTTATTTGGGAATAAATACCATTCTTAGTAGAAAAGGAGGCTATCTGCATTTGTTATAGCACCATAAGATAAGACAAGAAGCAAGTAGAGAAGATGGAAACTAATCAAGCCAAGTCTCTTGCCTGAGCAGGGGATTGGACTAAAAGACCTCCAAGGTCCCTTCTGTTTTGTTCTGCAATACACAAATGCCTGACTCTTAACAAGTACAGTGAGCGAAAGGCACTGCAAAGAGACTGGGTTGGGTTGGTCTTGATGTTCTCTGGGTAACCACTAGGGGATTCCCGCGAGCAAGGTAAATCCAGCTTGTAATCCCCCAAACCAGCAGGCCTTTTGCCCCTCCAGACCATTGGGATTCAGGGGCTGAATTCTGCCCCCCCCCCCGCCCTGCCATACTCACTCTTCTCCCAGCACTCCATGCGAGTAGGCAAATTCCATCAGGGTCTGATCATTGAGGGAATAGCTGCTCATGCCGTTGCCAACCCCAAATCCCTGAGAAATGGGAGAGCAAAAGGTTATCTTGAGGAAGCAGCTGAAGGGAGGGCAGACTTTGCTAGGACTGGGCTGGAGTCAGAAGGGGTCTGCCCTTCAGGCTGTCATTTTGGAGGGGCTCTGTTCTCCAAGATAGAGTCCCCCAGATGTGATGGCAATCAGTAGCTTCACAGAACAGATTGTATATCACGAAGCAAGTTGGCTTTTCCTAGATTTTGACATCTTACTTTGGCTGTTTGATTGTGACTATACAGGTAGCACTTGACTTACGACCACAATGGAGCCCAAAATTTCAATTGCTAAGTGAGACACTTGTTAAGTGAATTTTGCCCTGTTTTACGACCTTTCTTGCCACGATTGTTAAGTGAATCACTGTAGTTGTTAAGTTAGTACACAGTTAAATGAATCTGGCTTCTCTATTGACTTTGCTTGTCACAAAAGGAGATCACATTAAGAATTAAGGAGAAACTTCCTAACAGTGAGGACAATTAACCAGTGGAACAGCTTGCCTTCAGAAATTGTGGACATTCCATCACTGGAGGTTTTAAAGAAGAAACTAGACAGTCTGAAATGGCACAGGTTCTCTTGCTTGAGCAGGGGGCTGGACTAGAAGATCTCCAATGCCCCTTCCAGATTCTATCCTGTCCTGTCCTATCCTTTTCTATTCTCAGATCCTGGGGGACAAAAGGCAAGAGGCTACCTTTAGAGGAAGCCACCAAAACCAGAACTTCTTTCACAGCTCTAGGGTCTTCCAAGGTGGCTGGTTAAATGTGAAAAAAGACCTCAACTTGTTTTCATCCTTGCAAGCTCTGTTGTTTGTGAAAATAAAGGAAGTAGGGTGACATCCCAAGAGTTGCGTTTCTGAATAGAGAAGGCATTTCCTAATCACCAGGAACTCTAATCCTGACCCCAGTTGACTAGTGAGAAGAACTTCTTGGGGTGCGATTATTTTTACCTTCAGATTGATGGCTGCTGACCCCTCCACAATCTTGGCAGTCAGAGTGGGAACATAGATTCCACCATAGCTCTCCCCAAACACATAAAAGTCATTCTGAGCAAAATCTGGAAATTTGGTAAAGAAGCTCTGGAGAGCTTGGTAGTTCTCTTCAGCAACCTGAAAGGGAAAGATGTCAGGTGCAGCATATGCATATTTTGCCTATAATATAGGAATTCCAGAGTGTTTGCTTTCCTTGGGAACAGATAGATAACTAAGAAAGGAGAATTTGTAGCTCAGGGTTGAAATGAGGGCTCCTTGGTGCTCTCTGAGCTTGGTGGTGTTCTTGCAGACGTTTCCTTACCTAGACTAGGTAACATCATCAGGTAACACATAAATAACATTCTATAGAGTTTAAGGGGAGTCGGTCCTGCTTGACTGGGTGTTTCCCAACAAAAGAAACCACAACCCAAGTGTTCAGCTTGAGAAGAACCACCACACAGGTTGACCCACAAGCAAGGCTTGGGACGAGACCAAGGAATGAGGTGGTAGACCAGGAAGACACATCAGTTCCTACCTGCCCATAGAGTTGCACACAAACTGGCTAGGTAGATGCCAGGCCAAGCTCAGCCACCAAACAAGTGAGACGTGTCCCAGCTACCAAGATGCTGGTTCTGCCACTGGGGCATCCCGGACAGGCTGCCCCTCATTGACAGATCCTTTAGACCCCATGTCTCACAGCTGGTTTGCTGTGGGGCAGCCTTCACACAGCCACTTGGGCAGACAGAATCGGAAGGTGCTCACCTGGCTGTCGCTGACAGGATTTCCATAGCCTGTGGTATAGGAGTAGCCCACTCCACCAGGAGACTCCACGTAAAGCATGTTGGCCACCTTGTTCCAGCTGTCGGGGTTCAAGTAGAGCGTGCCATTGTCATGCAGCTGTAAAGAAGAGGAAAGGAAGGTGCCCTTGCAAATGGTCATCATGTTTTGCATGGTGAAAGTTGCCAGCCTCCCCCCCGCCCCCCCCCCCGTACGCGTCCATGACAGAGACTGCTGGGCAGCAGATCCTTCCTAGGGCTGGCCCTGAGAACAAATTGCCCACAATGGGTGTGCTGTTGTGGCCAGTTCTACAACTTCCTTTGAAAACTATTCTCATGACCAGGAAAATGCTTAGCAGCCAAAGGACGAGGTAGAACAAAGTTCCCCCCCACCCCCGGAATACCCAATCTTTTGTTGATACTACACATCTTCACAACTCAACAGAGAAATCTATTGTGAAGAATCAGCTATAAACTGGGGGGGGGGTTGTTAATATGGGAAAAAAGGGAACGTCCATGACACTTGTAAAGGAAGGCATGGAGTGGGGGGAGAGGAAAGGCTCAAGGAGCACAGCATGCCCTGGTCCCCTTGGGGCTTCTTGTGTGTTTCTTTTTGGCCCTGGCCCTTAGTTGTGCCCTGGTGAAGTGGGCATAGCTGCCAAGGCCTTGCCCTGCCTGCTTGCTTTCTCCATGAAAGGAGGTTGGCTGACTTAGGGCTTGCTCTGGCGAGGGGGCATCCTACTGCAGGGTTTCACTCAAAAAACTCTGGTTATGATCACCACAGGATGAAGTTGTGTGAAGGCAGTCCACAGATCTTGAGGGAGAAAGTATAACAATATGCGGAAATGGCCTTGGAAGAGACACAGCCTCGTGGTTGGATGCTGAGCCCATGTCAAGCACGTGAATGGAGCAGGAGGCTCAGGAGCGACCCTCCCCCCTAGTTTCTTGGGCTGTAAAGGAAATAAGAGCAGGGGGGAGGGAGGTGCACTTTCAGACTTGCATGATTCTATTAATGTAACTTTTTCTAAGTTCATCTGGCTGTGTTTCCTGTTTGGTCTACCTTGCAAGGTCTTGCACTATTTCCAAAGGGCCAGGGCTAGTTTGTGAAGTCCAAGTAAAGGCCATCTATTTTGGAGTACTAGTGGAGCTGAGTGGCTCCCAAATAACTGGAGCATCTGGGTCAGGCAGGGCTTCAAGGACAGAAGTAAGGACCTGTAGCAGATGTGATTTCCTCTCAGCCCCTTTTCTCTAGAGCACAGCCCAGCATGCCTCTCCCAGCCAGACTCACATGGAAAGGTCCGTTCTCAGCCAGAAAGCCCTCCATCGAGCTGCAACCAGGACCCCCATTCAGCCAGAGCACCACGGGGTCAGCAGCAGGGTTGCCCTGAGACTCCACAAACCTAGAATAACAGAATAACAGAGTTGGAAGGGACCTTGGAGGTCTTCTAGTCCAATCCCTGCTCAAGCAGGAGATCCTATCCAGTGGTGGGATTCTACCGGTTTGCACCGGTTCGGTAGAACTGATTGTTAAGTAGTTAAGTAGTTAAGCAGTTCAGAGAACTGGTTGTTAAAAGAAATCTCCTCTTGTTTTTTTCCACTTTACAAGGTTAATCCTGTAAGGAATTACAACATTCTGTGTTGTTTCCTAGCCTAATCTTTATTGCCCTGCTTATGGAAACTGCCTCTCTGGCAGTATTTAATTTAATTTAATTTATCACATTTCTATGCCGCCCAACTCCCAAGGCGGCTTACAGCAAAAATAATGCGAACAATGAACATAGAAAAATTATTTAAAAACATTATAAAAACATTTTATTATTTGAGTCTCCGGAGAAGGGTGGCATATAAATCAAATTTAAAATAAAAAAAATAAATAAAAATTTTAAAAACATTAAAAGCCCATGCACACCATTCATGACCAGATCTCACAAGATTGCAACTGCGAGATCAATGGCCCTAGACCTGCTGGAAAAACCAGGTCTTCACCGCTTTCCGGAAGGCCAATAGGGTGGGGATAGTCCGGATCTCAGGAGGTAACTGGTTCCAGAGAGCTGGGGCAGCCACAGAGAAGACCCTCCCCCGCGGGCCCGCCAGCTGGCATTGTTTAGCCTAGACTTACTGTCACTTCCGGTTCCAGAGGTTCTCGGAGGTTTTTTTTTTTGCTTGACTTTCTTAAAGGGGAAGGGTTGTTTTAAGCTTTTTACACTGCTGTTGGGAAGAAATACTCCCCTGTTGGAGTTCTTCCAGCCAGGGTGCAATGATCAGCACTTTGAAGAAATAATTGAATACGAAGCAGAAGCTTTTAATGACAAGGAACCAAGATGTTCTAGCTAGCCAATTCAGCAAAGCTTATTGACTAGCTAGAAAGATTGACATTCAAACGTGAGTTTACATACCCTTTCTGACTTTTGGTCTAAAACTGGTTTTTGGTGAAGTTTAATTCTGTGCTTGGTGATGTTTAATCCTGTGTTTAGTGATGGGATAATTTTCCTTATTCAGCTTTGTTTGGAAGGAAAAATGTTAATCCCTATTCCTGAAAAGAAGCAGCTTTGGAAATCTGTCTAGTTCTGTGTCTATTTGTTCTGGTAATCGGTTTAACAAGCAACAGATACTCTTGTTTGCTCCTTTGCTTCATTCTGGAGAGCTTAAACAACCTCTCTGCTAAAGAAACCCTTTAGAACACTTTATGAGCAAGAGTTGGCTGCTGATAGTTATCACTGCATTTTAACTATTTTAATTCCTCAAGGTGCTCTGGGCACCCTCCCTGATTTGTAACTCCAGTTTGCAGGTATTTCTAATCTAATGATTGGTATTTAGGGCATCTTTTTGCAAACAAAGAAGCTTTTTGTATTTTTATACAGGTAATCCTCGATTTACAACAGTTACAATGGCCCTGGAAAAAGTGACTTATGACTGTTTTTCACACTTATGACCATTGCAGCAAACTGTCATTAGGGCAAAGAAGCGATGCCACATGACCACCTGGCCATGCCCACCCAGTCACATAAAGCACCGCAGTTGTGAAATGAGTGATACGGTTGTTAAGAATGCTGCAATGGGCATAAATGATGACCAGTCAAAAGGGTGAGGGCCTGTCAGAAATCACTTTTTTCAGCCCTCTGGGTAGTCCTTTTGTGCATATGGACTACTCAGAGGGCTGAAAAAGTTATTTTTGACATGTCCTCACACTTTTGACCAGTCCTCGCACTTACGACTGTCCTCACATTTTACGTTTTTTGCCCTATCTTGTTACCATGGTGAAGAGAAGCAGTTGTGAAATGAGTGACATGGTTGTTAAGAATGCTGCAATGGGCATAAATGTGAGGATGGTCATGAGTGTGAGGACCAGTCAAAAGTGCGAGGACTGGTCAGAAATGACTTTTTTCAGCCCTCTGAGTAGTCCCTATACACATAGCCACGGCCACCCGGTCACATGATCAGCTAGCCACGCCCACCCGGTCATGCCACAGCCACGGCCACGACCACGGCCACAGAACTGGTTGTTAAAAAAATTGAATCCCACACTGATCCTATCCCATTTCAGATAAGTGGCTGTCCAGTCTCTTCTTAAAAGCCTCCAAGTGATGGACCACCCAGAAATTATGAAGATTAGCCATTCCACTGGTTAATGGTTCTCATTTGTCATGAAATTTCTCCTTAGTTCTAGATTGCTACTCCTTGAATAGTTGCAATCCATTGTTTTTTGTTTGCCTACTTTGGAAAATAGGTAGATTGCCTCTTCTTTGTGGCAGCCCCTCAAATATGTTGTGGCCTGCTGGCCGCCGGCCCCTCTAGCAGCCGAATCAGGTGAGGAGGAGGCGTGGGGGTCAGGGCCAGCATCAAGGCAATCTGAAAACTCCAAGGGAGAAGAGGGAATGGAGCTGTCAGAGATAGAGACAGAGGCGGAGCCTGGGTCGTCCATCAGCTCTCAGATGGAAAGTTAACAGTCCCCAAGTCTGGAGGTGGCTGATGAGGAAGAGGAGGAACAACAATTAGATGTGCAAAGGCAGGAAAGCAGTGGAAATCTGTGGGCCGATCCTTGGGACAGAAGAGCCACCGCTCTTTAGCGAAGCCCCACCCTAGCTCTGGGGATAAGAGGCAGAGGGCGGAGATGAATAGATGTGGCAGACAACTATTCATCTCCTTGCCGGACAGACCTGTTAACCTGCTGTGAGAGACAGAGAGATTTTTTGCCGGGGCTGCTGGGGCTCCTAATATTTAGGTAACTACAGATGGTTTGTCATGTTTGGGAACTGGGTCAGAACAAAATATTGGAACACTGCTATCATGTCACCCCTAGTCTTTCTTTTCATTAGACTAGACATACCAGTAGTGAAATCCAAAAATTTTCCCTACTGGTTCTGTGGATGTGGCTTGGTTAGGCATGGCTTGGTAGGCGTGGCTTGGTGGTCATGTGACTGTATGGGCATGGCCAACTGGGTGGGCAGGAATGATTCCTGCAGACCCCGCTGTTGCTTGAGCAGGGAGGGTGATGCTGAGGAGGAGAAAAACTGTGAGGTTTTGTGCCAGGGGGCTGGCCCTGCAGTGGTGGCTTGAATGGCACAACTAAAGTTGTGCTCACTGGTGAATGTTGGTGTGCTCAGGGAAGCAAGGGGGAATGGCGTGACAGCGGCTTCCCTGCTCAGCCCTGACAAGCGATGCATGGTGCCCACACCAGTGTCCCAAGAGAAGCAGAGAGGATAGCTGCTTGCAAGCAGACGAGCAGAGATAGAAAGCGTATCTGAAACAAAGATAAAGCAATACTTAGAAAGGTCTGAATTACCTAAAATACCAGAAAAATACAAGAAGGCTTTGGAAGAAAGAATAACGATGATGGAATTAACAGAGGGGATTAAAAAACAAAAGAACGGTAAAACACCGGGTCCAGATGGTTTGCCAGCAGAGTTGTACAAAATATTACAGGATGTAATTAGCAATACAATGTTGGAAGTATTTAATAAACTTTTAGTAAATGCAAAAATATCCAACTCTTGGGTAGAAGCATATATTACTCTTATACCAAAAGAAGACACAGACTTACAACAAGTTAAAAATTATAGACCAATTTCCTTGTTAAATGCAGATTATAAAATATTTGCATCAATAATGACAAATAGATTGAAGAGATTGTTAAATGAATTTATTCACACAGTTCAAAATGGTTTCTTTCCAAAGAGACAGATCAGAGACAATATGAGGACAATCTTAAATACTTTGAAATATTATGAAGTACACCCAGAAAAGCAAATGGCATTGATGTTTCTTGATGCACAGAAGGCTTTTGATAATGTGAACTGGCAATTTATGATAAAACAATTGCAGACTATGGACTTTGGGGGAAGATTTATAAATATGATTGAGGCAATTTATAGTAAGCAATCTGCAAAGGTGATAATAAATGGAGATATGACAGAGAAGGTTAATATTATGAAAGGAACAAGGCAGGGATGTCCTCTATCCCCATTGCTATTTGTGTTGACATTAGAGGTGTTAAATAGAAATATAAGACAAAATGAAGAGATAAAAGGGATGAAAATTAAAAAAGAATATAAACTACAAGCATTTGCAGATGATCTAGTGTTTATTTTAAAGGAGTCAGCGGACCTCTGCAGCTGACAACTATAATGAATACGAGGAGCACATCTAGGTAGCTTTTCTGCCCTGGCATTCATATGGCTCATGCTGACCATATCAGAAAGCAGAATTTCCACACATAATTGGCTAGTACGGGTACAGCTCTTGACTTTTTCAGCTCTACCTTATCTGCAGTTCTTAGGGAGATGATATTTCTTCTGAAAATAAACTGGCATGTGGTAAAGAGCCCTTCTGCAGCAGAAGCCCTCTTTTAGGAAGCATCTGTTCTCCAGTACCCCTGTTCTCCTACTTACCAGTAATGGAAATACTGGCCAGGGCCTGCTGGGAGGTAGCCTGACCATTGTCGGAAGGCTGGGACTTCAGACAATCCTGGCAGAGAAGAGACAAGATCTGGTGTGTATTGCCCGAGGCAGAGGCCAAGGATGGCACAGAAGACGGCATACCAGCAGCTGGCCATCCTAAAGCTATAAGGCAGCTGGACTCTCAGCCACCTTATATCACAGTCCTCCTGTTTGCTCACTTAATTAAAAAAACAAATCACACATCACACAGTACCATTCCTTTGTCAATAAAGAGAAACAATGGGTTGCAGGTTGTACCAGCAAAACATACTTGCTTTGAAGAATACTTGGAATGTCACCTTCTTCTTGTTTGCCTAACAAATTCAAGTTCCAACTGACAGTCTTTAAAAAAAAAAAATCAGGCATATTTTAAGCATAAGAAACATCAGGAATCTGTAGCATTTAAACTCTTCAAATGCAGACATATTTCTGAAAGCCACAAATATTAATAAACAATCATCATATCCCTCATGATACACTTAAACTTGAGATCTTCTGATTTCAAATTTAGCTTACCCTGAATCTCCCTTTTCCTATGTAGTCTAACTCCTTAACCACATCATCAGCAACACTGTTGACTATTGCTTTTCTCCAAAGGATGTAGAGCTGCATCAGAACTAAATGGCATTCCTTTTTTTTTCAAAGAAAAAGTGGGATCTTCTTGATATTTAGTCTTTTATTATTTATTATTTGATCTGTATACCGCCCTACTCCCGAAGGACTCAGGGCGGTGAACAGCCACAGGAGAAAAACACAGTCTTCTAGAATTAAAAATATAGAAATGAATTAGATGTAGCCACTCATGTTGTAATGTGGTTAGGCGCCATTCACTGACAACCTAGTTGGGGGTAGCCCTGGCACTACTTACTGTATTTTTGAAAGGTGATCATGAATCACTTGAGGGTGCAGCACTGCCAGAGGTCTCCACTCTTGGCTTCAGGCTGTGCTGGAGGAAGCTGTGTGCGACCCTGATTTTACAAGTCACCTTATTTCTCACCAGGAGTTCTGTTCTGGGGATGATGGTTCAAACACTTGCCTGTAAAAGTGACAAGCTGGGTGTCACTCAGCTCCCCTGCCACTCAGTTGGTTTCTTCTCCCAAGTTCCTTGAGCTAATCTGGCCTGGTGTTGGAGTCTCTCAGCTTTGGGGGCAGGGTCACATCTGCTTGCTGGTTCTGATCAGAAAATGTTTGGGAATTTAGGAAATATATGGAAATCAAGGACTTGTCTCAAGTTATTTCTGGCCTGATGTAGATAAGCAGACATAGGTCTGAGTTTACAGCATTTTCATCCCTGAACTTTGTGATCTGGATACGGAGAGTATAATATCGAATCCCTTGTCGGTTAATGGATAATGGTTGGATAATGTCTTGCTTCAGTTGAGATTGACAGATATCTAGGTCTTTTCTGCAGTTGTCAAACTTCCGAAAGGCACACACTGCAGGGGGGTGATGGATCCTAAAGCTTTTGGAGGACACTTGAGATCTTGGGAGTTTCCCAGGTATCTAATAGGGAGTTCTGCTGATTGCCTAGTTACCCTATGGCCAGAGACAGTGATGCAGGCGCTTTATAGTGTATTATTTCAATTAATACAATTAATGCTATCATTTTGTAAAATGCTGGGATGTTGAGATGTGACAGTGAAACAAATGTCCATCTCTGAAAAATGGGCTGGGAGCCATCCACAATCTGAACCTTCCATTCAGGGAAAAACAAACTATTGTAAAAACTGTGCCAACTGTGCCAATATTGCATCATTTTTTTATTAGTGGAAAAACCTGGCAGGGCTGTGGGGAAGAAAGTAGGATGCTAGGTCCCTTCCCCACAGCTGGGCAGTCCTGCTATGCTTGCCTGCCTTCCACACTGCCTTCCCGGCATCCCTGTGGCCAGCTTGCAAAGGCAGACAAGCGGAAGGCCACGTGGAAGGCAGGCAAACATGACAGGGCTGCCAGGAAGGGAGCTAGCACCCTTCCCTGCCATGCTTGCCTGCCTTCCACGCTGCCTTCCCGGTGTCCCCATGGCCAGATTGCCACACTCAACACTGACTCACACACAAACAATTGTCAACACAATTCTGCCTCCCAAGTCTTAAGGATTTCAGCTGCTCTTCCCCTGGCTAAAAATTAGTATCCAAGTTAGTAAATTCTCTAAAAACATCTTGGCAAGTATTCTGTGACTGACCTGCATTTTAAATTAATACTTGGAAGAGAGGCTCCTCAGACAAGCTAGCTCTTCCTAATTATTCTTGCTAGCTGGGAGATAACAAACTTCTAATCTAAACTAATTGCTTGCCTTCAGAAGTTGTGGATGTTCCATCAAGAAGAGACTTGTCTGGAATGCCTTAGCAGGAGATTGGACCACAAGACCTCCAAGGTCCCTTCCAACTCTGTTATTCTATTAATTATCCTATCGGTTAATTAGTTCCCTCTTGTCCTAGCAGGTGTGTGTTAGAGGCTCAATCGTTTATTAAGTTTATCGTCCATCTGTACGAAGCAACATTGAGCAGCTTACACTGTAACAAAATACAGATATAAACACAATTATAAATATTAAAACACATTACAGTTGCAAAAGATTACGAACAAACAAAAAACCATGTTTTTAAAGTGGAACAGCACTGTGCCTTCTCTGTTCCTGCATCAGGCACATCTAGCATAGCTTTTCCTTCAGGGCAGCTTCCTTTTCTGGCACCTAAATTAACCACTTTGGGGTAGAGGAGAAAGGAGAGGTTGCAGGACCCGGGAAAAAGCCCCTAAGGCTGCCTACCCGCAGCTGATTGAGGAAAGCCCCCCCCTCCCGCCACCAGTGGAATGGAACAACTTGTCACAGCCAACTTCCTGCAGCCAACTCACCACTGCCAATTTGGCTTGGCTAACTCACCATGGCCAGCTTGCCACAGCCAAGTCGCCATGGGACAAGAAAGACTCTTGAATCCATTGTTAGCAAAAGTATACTTTACTAAAGCCAAGTGGTTGTAAAAGAAGCAAAGCCGGATCAGAGATTTTTGTGCCCAAAGCATATGGTTAACTTTCCCCTTATTCTCACCTTCTCTCTGTTTATCTTTGAATGTCCAATTAAATGTTGATAAATTGTTTGGGTAACAGTCACTATCTTCATGGACTAGATGTTTCTGCATTCATGGTGTGACCTTGGTATGGCCGTTGGCTCTCACGGGACTGCATGTAGTTTTAATTCCTCTCCTGCTACTCCCCACTTACCTTGCAGTCCCTTTACCCACTGAGTACGGCAGGCTAACAACAAGCAAGGTATGACAAAGCATCCTTACATCCTTTCTTTAATCATTCTATTCCACCATTTCTTCAATATTATGTAACTTTTGTCTTGCAGTAAGTTGTCCCACAGTAAGTTGGCCATAGTGAGGTGTTCTAGACACTCCCCTCCCCATCAGCTCCAGTATATTCAGGGAAGTTTTTTTAATCAACTGCCTCAAAATTTATGGTGTCTCCTTGGCTGTTCTCCTTTAATATCTGTCCCACATTTTCCAACAGCATCGAGACACACATTGGCAACAACTATAAGTGTCATAAACATTACATTCCACCCTGGCACATACAGCTCCAAGCAAAAGGTCACCCAGTGGCCTCAACCTCCTTCAGAAGAAGTGAGCCTGATAAATGTACCAACCACTGTTTATCCAGGCTCAGTGTCAGACTTTCTTTCTGATAGCAGAGACTTTTAATCTAGGCATTGATTTAAAACGTCCTTTGGAACAGTTTCAAGTATCAAACCAAGAACACAAACCATGGAGACCAATATATCCCCAGTTGCTTATGTCTTGTTACCAGCCTTTACAATGATGGATCTCCAGGAGCTCGCATATCTTCTCTGCTTGTCCAGGTCCTCCTGGCATGGGAAGCCACGATGCTGTGACCTTCTCAATAGGGCAAACCAGTGGGTCTGAAAACTCTTAGCAAAGGATGCACTGCATCCAGATCAGGTGGATTTGTCATACTTCCCAGGCCTGTGTCTCATAGATGATACTGAAGGATATTAAGGTTCCTGCTATTGAGTAAAAGAGTTCTGGTAGAAACAGGAAGGTAATCTGAATTAGCCCATCACATACATTGCAATTGGTGTTACAACTGAATTCAACCAAAAATAAATCAATTTTGAGACACAGCAGAAAATTGTAAAACAGAAGTTCATGTTGCCCTGGCAGTGGGAAGCTAAAAAACACTTCTTTTCCATATAAAAAGTTTCCTTCAGGAGTTGGCTAGTGGAAGCTAAAAAACTACCTCCAGATCCGAAGTTTTGCTGAGGAATGAGCCCAAGCTCATTCCTCAGAAGCTACCTTCCAATCTGACATAGAACTCAACTAAGTTGAAAATTTGAATTTTGAGAGAAAGCTCAAATTTTTAAAACAAACACATATTCATGTTCCCCTGGACGGGGGTACAAAACCCTCTTCATTTTGAGATCTGAAGTTTTCCTGAGCAGTTAGCCAATGCCATACCCTGGAAAGGGTGATAAAATTTAATTCAGCTAGAAACTTTAAATTTTGAGACAGAGATCAAATTTGAAAAACATATCTCACCCTAACGGGAAAATTGAAAAAACACTTTTCCCAGATGCGAAGTTTCCCTGAGGAGTTTGCCCAAGGCATACCTAGAAATGGGTGTTAGAACTCAATTCAGTTCAACTTGAATTTTGAGAGAAATAAATTTGAAAAAAGATAACAGCTTCATGTTACCCTAGAACCACTTCCATTCCATAGCTGGGTTTTCCCTCACGTGTTACCCCAAGGTGTATCTTAGATTTGGCAGTAAAACTTCATTCAGTCAGAAAATGTCACTTTTGACAGAGAACTCAGATATTGAAACACACATATTCATGATCCCCAGGGTCTGGAAAGCCAAAAACACAATTTTCAAATCCGAGATTTCCCTGAGGAGTTAGATCAAGGGGTATTTCAGAATTAGAATTCCATTCAGCCAGAAAACGTCATTTCACACAGAGCTCAGATTTGCTAAAGGAACATTCATGTTCCACAGGGTGTGGAAAATCCAAAACACACTCAATTTTAAGATATCAGTTTTCACTGACGAGTTACACCAAGGCGTATCTCAGAATTGGCAATTGGACTACTCAGCCGGAAAA